GATTATTTAAGATGAGAAAGTTTTTGTACGTTCTACTTTTGTATCACGCTGATTTGTTCATTGAAACTCAGCTACACTTTCCTGCATCCTGAAATGTTTCATTTCAATCAAATGAGAAGCAGCACTTGTTGTAGAAAATGTGGGTTCTTGTAATCTAATGTGTAAAGAAATGTAATATGTGAGGCCGAATACTTTCTTGCTTATACCACGTGACATTTAAAACAGCTACTTCCTTGTGCTGGAAGCAGGAATGGAAACTACAAGCCTGTTAAACTTTGATGTTTTAAAAACTTAAAAGTACTTTATTTTACTAATAGTAACCATATATTTTAGCCCTTCTAGATCTCTGTTGTTTTGTTTTTCAGCAATTGTTTTGTTTTTCAGCTTGATAAGGCCACAAACAACAATAACAATGGGGAGATGGAAAGGCCCTTTAGAAACGAAGATCTTCCTGGTACCCCTTTTAATGGCTTTCCAAAATTGGAGATTCCCCAACTCAGAAAAGGACATTGGCAAACATTGCGGGGGAGAGATGGGAGATATTTCTAGTGTTCAGATCATCATTATTATTTTTTTCTGTTTCTGGCTTTAGGATGGGAATGGTTATGTTTCCTAGAATGTTCGCTCCATGTCCTCAGAGATTTAGTGTTTTTTTTTTCAAACAGAAGACAAAGGGGAATTCTGAATACTTGTAATTCCCAAGATTCCAGAGGAAATGATAAAGAACCAGTCTGACAAGAAAGTAAATAAATAAGATGCATGATTTGTACAAAAAAAATTATATAAACAAGTTTTGTTTTTGTTTTTTTTAAAAAGCGGGGGAGCTGCCTCCTGTAGTATTTGTCAACTTAACAAGAGATTTACATGGATGCTGCCAAGTCACAATTCATGAAACATTTGCAGTTACATTCATAGGCCGCAAGCCTTAACACAGTTACAGACATGCCTTGTTGTTTGTGGGATACAACTCAGGGGATCCCGGCTGGGGTTTGCAAACGGGACAGAGCAACTAGCCAGCTCCTGGGGAGTGGGTGGCTGGGGGAAGGCAACCCAGAGTTGGATAGAGCTCAACTGAAATCGGAACTAGATTATCCGCCTGGGCTTCAGGTCTCTGGGTTGCAAGAGTATTAAATGGCACTGACAACACAAAGATGCATACTTTGAAATAAACAGGGAAGCCATCTTCTTCGGGAGCCTCATTTACATCTATATTAGGGCACGCTCATACACACACACCCCAACTCCCCAAAACACTGCACCCATTTGAATGCTGTCTCCTGGATTCATTTCACAGGGAGTTTCCAAAAGGCCACCATCCGAAAGAGTTTAGCGATGGACGCCTGATGCTCTAATGAAAATCGATTTATTTTTCTATGGAGAAAAAAACAGCTACCACATCACTGCTAAGGAAAAGGGATCTTTTGTTTGTAGAATATAACTTTCCTCTCCATGCCGCTGCGCTCCCACCCCCACCCCCCGTTGTGGTTTTCTCTGTATGAAATGAATGTAGTCAAAGTTAAATACAACAATAAGGACAGACAATACAAATGTCACCGGTATTACAAAAACATTGCAGATGTATTACAGAAGAATCTCTTCTCTTCCCCCACCCCACCCAATAGTTTCATCTGGACAAAATAATGTACAATTATTCATATTGCACTTTTTATACAAGAAATTCTAATAAATATACACACGATACATTTACATAATGTAGAAAGACATTCTCTCTCTGTCTCTCTCTCTCTCTCTCTTTTAAATAAATGTTGCATTGATTCATAGCAACACAGTAACCTAGAGACCCATCTGAAAAGAGAGCAAACTCTCTGCCAGATACATTTTGGAAAGCCCAAAACAGAAGGCAATTTAAATCTGGCGGACCTGACATTGACCTCATCAGAGAACTTCCAGGCTCGTTTTAAAATATACAGGTAATAAAAAGCTGCAACCTATCAATGCTACCTTCAGCACACATTTTACGGTTAAATACAAGCCAAGAATCCTCCGCAAAGACACCCAAGCCGCAGGTCTGGCCTTTTATAGGGCTTGTGCTCAACCGAACTCCCCAGAACTGAACAGTCCACCTACCCTCCCTGAAGATGTTTGGGGTACAAAAATCATCATTTCTTTTTAATGATACCATAATCCCCTGCAGGGTGGAGTCAGGGCAATTGAATGGAGCAGAGTGTTTACTGGCCAGATGCCCTTCCTGTCACCAATGCGGAATTCTATTCGGCAGATATATTCTCATTGTGCCCAGAGAGAGAAATATCTGCCTCTACTTAGGATCGAACTCACAGCCTCCTGATTGTGAGGCGAGAGCTCCACCTCGAGGCCATCACATCACTCATTTGAGGTACAAAAATGTGCCCCAACAAATCGTGATCTTGCTTGAAGGCCCTTCCTTCTCTGCAAATACAAAACACCAATTGATTTACAGGTGCTCAATCCTTCATTGTGCTAAAGCCTAGCTTTGGATAGTTACTAGAGATGTACAGTCACTGTACCTTGGAGAAAACAGTGCTGGGTAAAAACCAACACACCTGCCAAATGTTGTGTCAGAGTCAGCCCCCAAAGCAAGACAAACCAACCACACACTTCTCTTATCATTACTGGGTCAGAGTTGGTGGGAAACTGTTCATTCATTTGCTCCGCTTTTGGTCAAAGCTCTAAAAGGTGTGAAGGACACTGTAGACCTGATGCAGACTGCTTTTCCTTCTCCTTTAATAGCAGACAGGAAGTATAATATGTAACCTGTTTGAATTGTGTCATGGGGCAACCCATGTTTCACCCCAGGGCTGTGTGCTTCCAAAATGACCGCTTATTCTTCATTAAAACAGCCCATCATTTTGTGAATCCTGTCGCATTAAGGAATTGACTTGCATTGCAATTCTAAAGGTAGACACAATGGTTTGTTTTTAAGACTCATGGAGTATCTGGGAAAAAAAGATGAACTGCTTTAATGAACAGCAGAGGTCTGGAGCCTGTGTGAGCTCTGAGCCTCATTTCTTAAAGGCGCTCAGCTCCCTTTGACAATACCCAGAAAGCAAACAGCAATGGAGTTATTCCTAAGTGAAGGAGGCTAAATGAAGGGGCATTATAAGATGGCTGCAACAGCCCGTCAATCAGAGCTTCTATTCTCCCACAGAAGTGTGTTTCAGAGCTGCTGTGTTTTAGCTCCAAGCAGTTCAGCAGTTTGTGAATTTCATCCTGCTTAATAAAAAAGAAAACACCCTTAAAAAAATGAAATGGGAAGCACTTATAATGATCGTCTTTCTCTGAGTCATCCACATCAAATAAGAAAACAGTTCAGTTAGTATATTTCATCAGGCCTGAGAGGATGTTTGTAATTTACCTCAGCATTTGTTCCACATAGTGGGCATTCACAGGGGCAAAGATTAATAGGATTATTCTGCAAACCAATTTAAACATGATCTAATCTCATGGAACCTCTCATTTCAATGTAGAAAATCTATACGCAGTTGGATGGATTATGTTGTACTTCCGTAGTGGAGAATGGGTGAGGCTGAACAGGTGTTGCCAACCTCTTTTTTTAAAAAAAAATTTTTTTTGGACAAATGAGTTCACTTATTCCTCTTAGGGTTTGCCTCATACTTTCTCTTTTATTATTGCAAAATAGGTGCAGGGTTTTTTACACTCACTCTGAACCATATGGACTACATAATCTTCTATCCCAATTTCTTCTTATTCTTTTAGGCTTTTTTTTATTAGTTTCCAACTTCATTTCTACTAACAAAAGCCAATAGAAACATGCGATGGAAACCTCTTGAGTATTTCCCTCCGTTTTCATCAGATTCAATATTTATCAAGAGCAATCAGGATGAAACTGCATCCAATATATTTAGTTAGGCATTTTGTTTTTAAAATGAAATAAACTAAAAAGAACTCCAAGCTTTCAGTAAGCGAAGAAGAGACTGGCATCTGGATTGAAAGCAACCAAAACCAATGGTGAGAATTAATCTTTGGTGCACCTTTCTTCCTAATCCGTATGGCATTGCTTCCCCTGCATTTCAGCCACATTATTAGAAAATGCAGTTTAATCTACTGTAGCATTCTGAGAGTCAAACTGTACCACCTGAGGATCACAAAAGCAGAATACCCCACATTGTAGCATTAAAAAAGACATGCGGCTATGATAAACTCATTATGGATACAAACAAGCCATCACCTCCTCAAACGTACAAACAACCTCTTGGGAAGTACTGAGTTAGACATTGAGGACTTTTACTTACTTCCCCTTATTTCTAATTACATTCCCCCCAACTTAGTGGCCTCTGGATGTGTTGGCATGGGCAATCCCCATCACTATGGCCAATTTCTAGCCCTCCCCCCCCCAAAAAAATGCCAGCTGTTCTCACTGGTAAGCCTCTGTGGCAAAATGCCAAGAAGTCCCGAGTATAACACTGCACGCTACCAGTTTCTCAGGTGGATGATGGTAGTGAGCGCACCATAGTAAATCCCTATTTGGGAAGAAGATTCACTGTAAGCGTGCCAGAATCAGTTCCAACGTTTGCAAGGTGGCAATCGTCCATTTTAATCTCTGCTTTCTGTATCTGTCAAGCCCCATTTCGATTTACGTAGTAGTAATCCAGTCGGGCGTTTGGTCTCCAGTTGCTTCCACATCATTTCTTCAGTCCGTCAAGGGCCCCCAGTGATGTCTTCTGGACGGTTCCATTTCCAACATGCTTTCTCTCTCTCTCTCTCTCTCTCTCTCTCTCTCCCTTTCTCAGCCTCCACCCTCATCTGAACTGTGACTCGCTGCATGTGTTTCCCATCATGAGGAGAGAAACCTTGTCAAGGTCTTTTGTTTTTTTGTTTTTTAGAAAGAACAAATGACTCTGTTAAAAGAGATTTCTTAACAAGAAAAAAAAAAAAAGGAGAGGGGGGAGAGAAAGGAAAAATAAATAAATAAGTGGCAGGCGAGGCAACCGCGTTTCCAATTTTCCTTCTCTCAAAGCAGCCCTTCTCCGGAGCAGAGCAGAGCAAGGCCATCGGTTGCTAAAATTCACTTTCTCTTTCTTTCTTTCTTTCTTTCTTTCGCTGCTGCCTTCATGCTTTTCCACACGTCCCACAGCAGCGTGACTTGAACTGTGCCAGTTGGCAGAGCTTTAACTGCTTCACCTTCTCACAATACCTGGTGGTATCTCTGCACTCAACTAGGAAAAAGGGGATGAGAATAGTAAAAAAAAAAAAAAAAAGAGGGGGGGATGACAAATCTCATCTTGGATCTTGCTGGCTCTTTAGAACATCTGTAGTTACTCAGATGAAAGAGGAGCCTGAACTTATGACATTCCCACCTCCAGAGGAAAAAGCAAACAGGGGAAAAAATGTAAACATGTACAAAAAGTCCAATAAAATGCCAAGGTGTCTCGCCCTGATGACCTGGGATTGCCAGTTCCAGCTGAAACCAGTCCTATCAATCTTCCCCTCCTAGTAAATGTTTGAAGAGCCAAGGCTAATTAACTAACAAAATTAGTAGGTATGCATTGAATTCGTAACAAAAAAAGAAGTAAAATAAGTAAAATTATTTGAACCCTATCTGCTATATACCAAGCATTTTCTCTTGCGTACATGAATCATTTTGGAAAAAAGAAACACACAAGGACCAAAACGTTCGCTTCCCTCTTTCTTTCCAGCAGGATGGAGGTGGGATAAGTGGAAGGGGTAGAGGGAAGAAGGAAGGGGGCAAATTGCTAGAACCAGCTCACTGTGGCCGCCTCTCCACGGCCAAGTCACTGCAGTCAACTCACCATGGCCAACTCACTGCGGGACGTTGCAAGTGGTGGTCACGTGACATTGTGCTTCTTGACCATGGGTGGAAC